TTGGAATGCGCCTCACTTTTTAATGATGCATTCAGAATCGATTAACTGTTGGTAACGTTCGAATACGTACAAGACCAGCACCATACTTGTAATGGCCGGAGACGCACAAGCTAGTGGTCTTGTACTTCCAGATGAGGCTCAATTGACCTTGCCAGACACCGGATTTGATCTAGTGACCATCAGTGTTATGGTGTGCCCCTTGGAAATCAAACTATGCTCAATATGTCGACATGCTTACGCATTTTGTTCACTATTGTTGAGTCAGTAGTAGAACTTGTAAAAGCACCTACCGTATAGCCGACGACGGTGAAGAGGTAGTAAAGAGTGCCGAAGAAAGTCCATGATCCAATGAACCCACTAGCGAATACAAGTATTATTGACCTCCAGTTACATTCGATGATGAGGTGAAACCAATTCCTATAATAATTGGAAATTTCAAACTAAAATGAAAAAGATACATCACCTTTTCAACTAAGCAGAAAATTTTCGTTGATTTTTGATGACGGCTGGTCTCGTTATGGGCCGTAGTCCAGTGCAAGTGCGGTTAATAATAATCGCTGATACAATTTCCGTTTCAGAGGCATTGTCCATGAGACTGTCTCTTGGGGCTTAGAAATTGTCGATTTGCACAGCATCTCACCTAATGGAGTCACAATTTCCATGTTGTGAACAGCTTCCGGTGACAACTGCGGGAATTTGAACGAATCTGAGCAGCTTTCTAAAAATGAATTCTTCGTTGGAAATCACGATTCACGGGGCGCTAAGTCTATTACTAATAACTGGCGCATGACTTTCATCATGGACAATGCCTTCAGTATACGTTTTGTACGGATAGTTTGTCCCTTGGTGTAATGTTCGGTCACAAGTTTTGACTGCCTCCATTGTAGGTTGATCTCTTGGAAAATCGATAAATTTACTTCATAGACCATTGATGGAGACAGTTGTCAGCTTTCATATTAATGCTCAGCCGATGGCGCTGATCATGCTCATCTTCAACCCTCCACACAAAAACCTATAAACTCGATCGATGTCGATGGTCAGTGAGTGACAGTAAAATTCCATCTCTGGCAACTTATACAATAGCACGACCCGCTCACGATTCGCTGTGCAACAACAGATAATCCGGGTGCGCTTCGTTGCGCGCGTCCGTCGAATCTAGGTCACGCCGCAACCATTGCAAGCGGCGGATCAGCCTGCGATCTTTGACAAACGTCGCAGTTGTCAGCGGGGCATACGAATTACGCTTGGTTCACGACAGTGAGCCAAAGAAAAGATAACACGGACAAATGCAAATCATACGCTCCACCGACACTTGGTGGTACTGTGGTGTCGTTTCGAGACTTCCGTGGCGCGAAGTGGGAGGGGTAACCTACTTCCGACGGACGCGCGCAACGGACGTTCTCCCAGATAATCCTGATCAGTATCGATCAGAATGGCGGAGCACAGCTTTCTATTCCACCATCTTTATCTTTTCCTACCTTGGATGTATCCCTGCTTCAGACACATACATCAATATGCACACTTTCAGGATTATTAATAACGGAGTAATTTTATAAGACTTTTATAAAACCTGCTACCAAGTTGAAAAATAGGTTCTTATCAACTTACGGTTCGGCGTTATCGCCCTCTTCAGAATTAAGGCGATAACGCTGAAACGTGAGTAGATAAGAACCTATTTTTCATCTTGGTAGTAGGTTTTATAAAAGTCTTGTAAAATAATGTAAAGCTATGACAAGTTTCATTAAGTGTAGAACACTTATAACGGAGTAATACTTGACGATACAATTCCCTCGTTATGATAATAAGTTGCGGTAATACTTCTACCAGTCTACGCCTCAATATAGCCTTTCCGGGGGAGGGATTCTCTCAGAGGCAGCTCTATATATTCGCAATTAATAGTTTGGATTGAGTTCACAGATTCAAATTTACTTGTAAAATCTTGGAATCATTGGCTGCAAGGCAGTAATAGTACTAAGTAAACACTAACGATAATATTATCGTTAATACACATCATGCCAAGTTTGGAAGAAAGTCGATCCTGGACTATCTTAAGTAAACACTGTTGTAAGTTTTCAATGTTGCATAAATAGAAGAACACTTTTTTACCTATACGTAGTACGAAATCGATCCGGCAACTCGACACTTGTGAGAAGAGTTTGTCCAGTTTTCGAGACAAGTCTGGCTCGTCGTGGCGCTGAAGCCCAGCCATCTGCAATTAGTTAAACGATTTCATGCAAGAAATTCATGGAAAATTGCATTCAAAAGTTTCTTAAGAATTATGTTATTCCTATATCACGTAGAAAGTGCTCTGAAGGAAGGTACCGCATAGTGATTGCTCCTAATGGCGAAAGTTTTCATTTTAACCAATAATTGGATCAGAAGCAAGGATCCGGTTCTAGTATAGGTGGTGGGACGATCCAAGGCGCACGTCAAGCTGCCAACCACTGAGAGACGCCCTCGTGGTTCCTAGTACTTCCCTTAGTGGTTGATAATTTTGGCACCGCCCCAGACGGCCCATCATCACCTTCAGCATAAAATCTAACTCAAAAGCACAGATTATTATGATTTCGGGGATTTTAGCTTCAAAGAAATAGTGGGAAGATGAAAATAGGCGTACAGTAGGAATATATGAGGCATCAAAAAGGTAGTAAAAATAAGAGTCGGACGAGAATGCGACGACAAAAGTTGCCTGGAAGGGGCATTTTGACGAACTGGCCAAATGTGTGTCATTAGGTACTGCTAGCTACAGTAAGCTGCGTGCGTGCAACGTGAGTGTCGCGGTGGAATGATGCAACCCTACAACCTCTACAAGGCTGTGAGAACTCGTCCTCATTTGGGCGTGTACGTCAGCTAAGCCAGTTTTGGGCTCCTATTATGCCCTAAACATGCCTTTTTTCGACGTTACAGCGTCTCTCGTGCGATTTCTGGGAGTTTCAATTCACTCTGAGAGGGAACTCAGAAATCGTTTTCATTGGGCCCTGGAGGCATCCCTTTAACAGAGTTATCAATCTGCTAAGTTTACTGGTACTAATATGTACGCCGTAAGTTCAAAGTCAGTCAAATTTTCTGCTCCCAAGAGTTCCTTCAGAAGGTACAACTAGCGATCAGATGAACTACATTCACTTGTACAAGATACTCACTAATTTGAAACAGCTAAGTACAATTCGATTTGTATCTTCGTTCGGTGGTGACAGAGAAATTCAATTTTCAACGAACCCTGGCTTCTAGCTTTATGTTGCCGCAAACAAAAACCTTTTAAGCTTGAAAGAGCATTGCTTTGGTGCTAGCTATAGGGGAACATACTCAGTAGCAATTGACGAATGCTGCAAGTAAAAGGTCCATAGTCATTATATTCCAAATTACAATCCTACATATGTGATTTAGGACGCCAACTATTCTGAATGATTTCCAATTGTCGGCCAGAAATCATAGTAAAAAAAATGGATCCTTCAGGTGAAGCCCCTGTAATCTCATGGTTCCCTTCTGAGAGTGAAAATCTAGCATTAGGGCAGTTTTCAATTGGTAAACAAACAAAGGAACAGAGAGAATTTTGCTGGAAAAATCGATTCTACCTGAAAAATATTGAATAGAGTCGTGAAGTTCTCGATTTAACATTTTGCGTAACCCTTCAGGGATACGCCACGCACTCCACACGATCATAAAAGTTTCGTGAAGCGTATCGGAAGGTGGTATGAGAGAAGAGAACTACGCTGGGCTCACTGAACTACTCATTCATAATTGCTTGATACCCATAAAGCGGTCTTCGGTCAATAGGCCAAAGGGAATTCGATCTTACGGGGTATCCAGGAGACGAATTGCACGTCTTACCATTGCACCACCCCTTCTTCCTCTCCCTCCACCCTCCTTTTTCACATTAAGCTGTGATAAGTAGTACCTAATTTGAATATTCTCTAC